TAAGACCACCAAATAGAAAGGGGCATCCCCTTGGGGCTCATGAGATGGTTCAGTGGGTCAAAGCTCTTGCCTTGTGACCTCAACAACCTGAGCTTGAGTCCCAGAAAATGTAGGAGAGAACCAACTACAAAAGTTGTCCTCTGAGCTCCAAAATGCAAGTTGTGGTACCTATAACACATACATACCATAAACACACGTAATAAAAAATTAATTAACTAAATGACAGAGGCAGACCTTATATATAATTTACAAAGATTTTACATTGAGCAAAGTCCTGGTGATTTGGTTCGGTTGCTAGTGTTTGCCTAGCATGCACAAAGCCCTGCGTTCAATTGTTAGCATCATATAACCTGGGTGTGGCGGTGCACACCTATAATTCTAGCACCCAGGAGGATCAGAAGTTCAAAATCATCCTCAGGTACTTAGTAAATTCCATGCCAACCTGGGATAGCTGAGATTTTGCCCCCCAGAAAAAAAGCATTAAAGCAAATAAAAAGATAAGGCACTTCCCACAGTTCTCTATGCAGCGCGAGTATGTGTGTATATACTTATATAAACAGTATTATACACTGCATATGCATATTTGTACCAGATCATCCTTTTGCCTCAGATACCTCAGGGGGAAAAAATTACAATAAACTAGTAGCAGAGGTCCCTGTGTTTTAAGACAAGCCAGGAGCAGAAGAGCAGGTTGCCACTGGCCATCTGCTTCATTTCTTATTTTTGAGACAGAAGACTCCACTCCTTTTCTACTTGTGTGGGTATGTGGGTCACAAGGCATATGTGAGGCTAGAGAACAACTCTGTGGAGATGCTTTTCTCCTTCTTCTCTAAGTGAGTCTATAGGCCGAACCCAGGACGTCAGGCTGAGCCATCTCCCCAACCCTCTATGGTAGTTTGATTGTAATTGGCTCCCATAACCTCATTAGTGGTGGCACTATTAGGAGGTGTAGCTTTGTTGGAGTAGGTGAGGTCTTGTTGAAGGAAGTGTGTCACTGTGGGGGCGGGCTTTGAGGTTTCCTATGCTTAGGATACCACCCACTATCTCAGTCCATTTCCCCTTGCCTGCAAGATGTAGGACTCTCGGCTGCTACTCCAGCACCATATCTGCCTGTTCCCCTGATAATGGGCTGAACCTCTGAAACTGTAAGTGAGCCATTCCAATTAAATGTTTTCTTTATAAGAGTTGCTGTGGTCATGGTGTCTCTTCATAGCAACAAAGACCCTAAGACACCCTCTCTTTCTACTTTTAATTTGTACATGATCATGCAATTTCTGTCAATGATAATTTTTAAGGAAAAACATTTACAAGCTGGGCATGGTGATGCATGCCTGCAATGGCAGGATTTCTGAGGTAAATGCAGGAAGATTAAGAATTCATGGTTATGGGCTGGAGAGATGTCTCAGTGGTTAAGAGTACTGGCTGCTCTTCCAGAGGATCTGGATTCGATTCCCAGCAACCACCTGGCAGTTCACAACCATCCGTAACTCCAATTATTGAGATTTGACATACTCTTCTGCCTCTGTGGGTACCAGGCACATATGTAGTGTACAGACATCCATGTAGACAAAACACTTACTTACAAAATAAAAATAAATAAATCTTATTTTAAAAAGAACTTAGGGGCTGGGCAGTAGCACTTAGAAGGCAGAGGCAGGAGGATCTCTATGAGTTCGAGGCCAGCCTGGTCTACAGAGCAAGTTCTAGGAGAGCCAGAACTGTTACACAGAGAAATCCTGTCTCAAACAAACAAACAACAACAACAACAAAAACCCAAAAACCAAAACAAACAAGCAAGCAAACAAACAAACCCAAAGCAAAAACAAAAACCTCAGGATGAGAGAAAAGTCTGTCAGAAGGTTCTTGGTGATAATCTTTGTCTTTTTGTTTTTGTTTTTCCCTGGCTGTCCTAGAATTAGCTTTGTATACCCAGGCTGGCCTCAAAATCATAGAGATCCACCTGCCTCTACCTCCTGAGTGCTGGAATTAAAGGCATGCGCCACTATCCCTCTCTTTATAGACAGAAATGCAAGCACTCACACTTCCGGTTTACAAAGTGAGTAACCCTTGCCCCCACCCATTTTCTTGCCAGGGGTGAGGCAGGAGATGGCATCAAGATAATAGGTTTTTCCATAAATGTTTTCCAATTAGCAGTAAACTCAATCCAGACAAATTACACAACCTGCAGCAGCCGCCACCCTACAGTCACACTCTGGCACCCCAGAAGCCTTGTCCCACAGCTGAATTCTTGGCCTGGGCAGGAGATATTTTTCAGCAGAAATACTATCAGGTATAGGAGTACAGCAAGCTCGGTTGGCTAAAGAGAAAAAGGTCCAAGTTCTGGGTCCTGCTCAGCCTCAAGAAAAGCAAAGCAAGATGTAGGCATGGATGTCTATGAGGGCTGCAAGGGACAATGATTCTGACTTTGCAATTTCATTTGGTTTCGTATAACTGTGTTTACCTTTAGTTTTGGTAAGGTTTCTGGGGCTTTTCTCTAGTGCTGGGGTTTGAACACAGAGCCTCCCACATCCCTGAGCTACATCTCCAGTCCTTTTCTCACTTTTTATTTTGGGACAGTCTCACTAAGTTGCCCAGGCTGCCCTTAAACTCACTCTGTAACTTCAGAAGGCTTTGAACTTGGGATCTTCTGGCCTTAAGCCTTGCTGAATGCTGTGAGGCTCACCACAGTTTATCTCCACATAGCTCTTTCTCATTCACTCTCTCATCACCTAGTCCTAAAAAGGGGACAAAGGGGACGTTGTTCGGTGCAAGGCAGACTATAGCGAATTTCCATTTTACAGGTGAAAAGGAAGGTGTGAAGAGATTGGGCCAGTGGTTACACTCTGAAGAGGAGGAGGAAGGAGGACTGGGCCCCCAACTTTCCAGCCTGTCCCTTAGCCTTTCCTTTTATCTGACTTATGGGCAAAACAAGACTGAGAAGGAACACTGCTTTCCAGGGCTGGCTGTTCTGAGCCCTGACTGCACACTGCAGTGGTGTGAGGAGCTGAGGTCCAAGTTTAATAGACGCTTGCGCCAAGGCACAGGGATCTGTAGTGTTGGAAACTACCCAGTTAATTCTGATGCAACTTTGGGTGAAAATCTCTGAATTATAGCTCAAATCATCAACCACCCACATCTTCGCTCCACCCTCCATCCTTGGGGCCCTGGCAATGCTGCTTATCTTTCTTTCAAGATACCTGGAGTCAGAGAACTGGGCTGGAAGGTAGCCAAAGACTAGAATGAACAGTCTGAGACCCAAGACAGAGATATCATTTGCCCACAACATATCAGTGAAACTGGGACATAGCAGGACTAGAATCAAGATCTGGCTACAGTAGGGTTGCCTCACAAAGAGGTCCCATTCAAAGTCAGCCTTGATGGCCAGCCCAGCAGCTCCTGCTAACAGGAGAGATGCAATGAGGAGCTGAGGAAGAGGAGGTGAAGAAAGATGGAGAAAGAAGAGGGAGGGAGGGTGAAACTTACTTGCAGGGGAGGGGACTCTTTGGGATCTTTGGACAAGCCTATCTATAAATACACACTGGGGGCAGGAGCCTATTCCGTAGATGTGAGGGTTGAGCTAACCTGTGGAAAGATATCCTCATCTCTAGACTGAGGTCTGGTGATTCTAAAATGACCACCTGCTAAGCCAGGGATGATGATACATCCCTGTGATCCCAGTACCCAGTGTGTGGAAGGCAGAAATAGGATGATCAGGAACTCAAGGTCATTATCAACTACACAGTGAGTTTAGAACCAGCAGAGAAAATCTGAGACCCTGCCTAAAAGAAAAAGGAAAAGGAAGACCCTTGGGGTAGCTTATATCATTCATGTCTAGATTCCTTGCCCATAATAACATTGATGGTGCCAGATATGGTGTCTTACAACTGTGATTCCCATACTTGAGAGGCTAAGGCAGGAGGATTACTGAGTTCAAGATTAACCTGGACTATAAGTGAGTTCTAGGCTAGCCAGAAATGCCTAAGACCTTGTCTCAAAAAAAAAAAAAAAAAAAAAAAAAAAAAAAAAGCAAACACATCACACCACCAACTATAGACAGGGCCTCACTGTATAACAACAACAATAATAATATTAGGTGTAGTTGCACATGACTTTAATCCTAGCACTTGAGTGACAGAGGCAGGTACATAAACAGACCCTGATCCAAAACAACAATAATGTTATTTTTTGAGCTCTCTGTGGTCTCATCTTGAACTACTGCCACTTTATTTCCACAACCATCCAAAGGTTTAATAATTACTATCCCCAATTACAGATGAGAAAACTATGATCAGAGAAATGAAGGAACTTACCCAGATCACTCAGCTAGAAAGTGATGGTTAGTATTCAAAACCTGGCTGTGTACAACCACTGCCATCTCGATGCTCCGGAGGAAATGCCAGAAGTCATGAAAACAGTGAGCTAGGAGCCTCAAAGTCCTCTAGTGGAATGCCCTAGTCCAAGAAGGCAAGTGCATCCTCCTCCCATCAAGGAGGAAAGCAAGATGCCCAAGGGAAGCATCTTGGCCGAAAGGAAGGCTCAGGCAAGTAACAGCAGGGACCAGACTTGGAATCCAGGTGGCCACGAGCACAAAAGCTGACCACCTTTCGCTATGCTGATGGGGAGTCACACCCTGCAGGCGTGGTGAGCGCGGCCAACATCGTGCCAACCACCTACCGAGCAGCCAGAGAATGCACAAGGGGCACGGCTGACGAACCAGACCCCATCAGGTAGATGCTCATAGATGAGCAGCACTACAGGTGGGCAACCTCTCTAAAGCTGAGGACTGAGAGGCTGAAATCCAGCAGAGCTGGGGCTGCCACAACATCCCGGTTCCCAGGGAAGTGGGGAGAAGAGCCGTTGCGCACTCCCGGCGGCCTCCCTGGAGGAACTGAAGCTGGATCCAACCACGGATCGGGTCTGAGGGCCATCAAAGGAGTGTGGACCATCCCATATCCTCCTCCCCCAATTCCAGATCTACCAGCTCCATCTCGATCACTCACCCAGAACACGGTGGAATAGACGATGAGAGAGAACTTGAGCCAAAGGTAGGAGAAGCGCGCGCAGTAGCGCACCTGTTCCGAGTCCCCACGGGGCATCGTGGCTCCCGCGCGGGGCTGCGGGGCTGCTCTGGTCCGGCCACCGCTTCTGGCCCCACCTGCGGCTGTCCCGCGGCCTGCCCCGCCACCCGCGCTCTCTCCGGGGACTGACACTGAGGAGCCGCAATCACCGCTCGGGCCAGGAAGCGAACAATGCCTGCGGCCAATGGAAGCGAGGGGGCGTGCCGGGGGCGTGTCCTCAGCGCCAGACGGAGCACAGACCCGGCGAGGGGAGGGGGCAAGAGTCGTCAGAGCGAGCGCCGGGGGTACCAGGTGACCACGCTCCAGAGCCCGGCGTGGGAGCGTGGGGCCTGGAGAGAAGCCGGAGGAAGGGTGAGCGTTCCCAGTTCCACATTAGAAAGCAGGCTTTCGGGCGCTGGCGCTGTGGTCCAGTGGTAGAGCGCTTGCCTAAGAGCCTGAGTTTCTAAGCACCCTCAAAAATAAAGCATGCTTTTCTACTATTGTGAATGAATACTGTGAGAAAGAGGTAGAGACTAACTGCGAGGGTGTTAAAAGAGCAAGTGAATCACTTGGGAGGCAGGAGGATATTTGTGAGGTCTGTATCGTGAATTTCAGGATAGCCGGAGCTACACAGTGAGACCCTATCTAGAAAAAACAAACAAAGAAGCAAGCAAAACAAAACAAAAAAAGGTGCAAGTGAGTTGCTACTGTACTGTAGTATTCTAATGCGGTTCTTTAATCCCTGCACTCAGGAGGCAGAACAAGCTGGTCTCTTGGGTTTGAGGCCAGCCAGGGCTACATGTGAGACCCTGTTTGAATAAAAAACAAAAACATGCAGCCGGCCGGCGGATCTCTGTGGGTTCAAGGCCAGCCCGGTCCACAGATCGAGTTCCAGGACAGGCTCTCAAGCAATACAGAGACGCTGTCTCAAAAAAAAAAAAAAAACAAAACAAAAAAAAAAAAAAACATGCAAGTGATTGTTCAAGAATGGTGGTCTGTGATCCCAGAAAATCGGCTGCCCAGGGTGGAACTCAGGGGTCTCCTTGGAGTAACAGTCTTCCAGGCATAGATCTGCTCCAGCCTTTCCCCCAACCGACCATGGAAATCCCCTTTGGCACCCAGCTCCTTCTCCCGGGAAATCCTCTTCTAGACTCATCTTCAAACCCAGTCAGTGGGGGTCTGACCTGCCTCCCGGCTGGCCTCTCTAGCCTAGGCCACAGGTGGCCATGAGTCCATTTTCCTCGATAAGTGGTCCCAGCCATACTGCGTTGTTTTCCTGACCACGGGCCTAGCCTAGCTCAGCGCAGAGCCTGAGAACCAGGCAGTCTAGTCTGTGTGACATTCAGTAATTAAATGCAAGTCAAAAGCTCTGGAAGTGTGGAGTGGGGTCTCTGGTGGTGACTCTGGGAATGGCACCTTTAGGCAAATTCCCTGGGCTGGGTTGAGCAAGAGGGAAATGTCCAAGAGGTGGGTTGGCCAGGTGCTATTCCTGGTATTTCTCTCTGTAAAGATTTGTCATTGCTATTTCATTTATGTGTGTATGTGAACGTCACGAGTGTGTGGGTGCCACTGGATCCAGAAGAGGATGTTGGACTCCTGGGAGCTGGAATCGCAGGCAGTGGTGAGCCAGTAGATGTGGGTGCTGGGAACCAAACTTAAATCCCCTGCAAGAACAGGAAGCCCTCTTGAGTGCTGAGCCACCAATCCAGGTCTCTACTTTTTGTTTAGATTTTGGAAAACATATCACTAGGAAGCATACACACATGTAAATAAATTGGGCATAGATAGCAGAAAGCATCTCAGGCATCGCCCTTCCTTGTCCAAAGAGTAAAGACTGTGGAGGAGTGCTTTTCACATGCAGACAGCACACTGGGCTAAATCCCAGAGGGGAGCCTCTGTTCAGTGCTTACAGTTGTCAGTTACCTCAATCCTGTTTCAGGATTGCCCTGCTCTTCCTGGAGCAGACTCTTCCTGGAAGGATGGACAGCTGAGTCTTAGGTGACTTTGCTGAAATTACAGGACTGGTTTTGTGACTACCTGCTCATAGTAAAGATTTGCATTGTGGATGTCTGCATGGGCCTCAGAATATGTGTGGAGATTTCTCTTCCTGATATCTTGGCTGGGAGAAGAACCTCAGAATTCTACATAACGGATGTCCTTGGGTAAAATCTGCAGCTATGCCATTGAACCTATGACCCTGCCTGTGTTTCCCCATCTGTGAAGCAATGAGGCTGGACTGTTTTTATCCAGCTCTAGCAACCTTAGGCAATAGATCAGTCAGTGAATGTGCATGGTGCTTGGGTGTAAGGAAATGATCAGAAATGTAGATAAAAGAATGTCCTATTAAGAAGCAGGGAACATGCAACACGAACACACACACACACACACACACACACACACACACACACACACACACGAGTGTACCCATGAGCAAAAAAAGTACAGAAGAGGTGAACTTCGGACGCAGGTGTATGCTAATGATATAATGAGCCTCCCAGTGGAAGAATGAAATGTGCAAGGGCCATTACACAAACTTCCTGGAGAGCTGAAGGGGGCGGAGCCAGTGGCTAGGAAGAAATTCTTGTATCTTTCTTAATTTTGCAACTTCTGTCTAGCAGTTGAAGTCAAAACAAAGAGATTCTGTTTATTTCCCCTTATAGCGCAGGCCTCTGGTAAGGTTCCTTTTGGGAAGTGACTGTAACACGAAAAATAAAAAACCCAGAGATTGAAACTGGGGTTCAAGCTTCAAGCTGAATATCAGAAAAGCAAAGCAGCGGGCTGTTATGGTTGGTTTTCCCTGCAGGTCTGGTCCCAAATAACCCCAAATAACACACAGAGAAGCTGTATATATATAAATGCTGTTGGCCAGTTACTTGTTTCTTATTGGCTAACCATGTCTTAAATATTAACCCATTCCTATTAATCTAAGTATTTCCACATGGCCTCCGTCCTCCATCTTCAATCTCCTCCCTACTACTTCCTCTCTCCTCCTTGTCTCCTAGCCCTGCCTATCTTGCTTTCCTACTGGCCAACAGTGCTTTATTCATTAACCAATATGAGAAACATATTTACAGAATGACATCTCCCATCATCTCTTTTCTGTCTAAAATAAAAAGAAGGGTTTTAATTTTAACATAGCAAAATATATAACAAAACAGTTATCAAATAAGAACCATAGTTAACAATATTTAGTCCATTAACATTTGTAAGACTTAAATATTCTATCATCTATATTATCTTTGTGAGTCTAAAATCTTATATGTAATTTATCTTTAATCCTAACTAAGGAAAACTATAACCATAACTATCTGTCTTCAACTCCTTCAAAGACCACAGAAGGATAGTATATAAACTCTAGAAATGACAGAGACAACTCACTGCCTGGTCAGTCACCCGAAGTTCTTCTGTAACCTTCCATCTTCAGCCCATAGGCCATAGTGTGTCTGGCAGACTCCTCAGCAAAGCAGGAAACTTTAAACTGTTCATCTGTATTGGCAGTTTGTCAGTCACTTTTCTCTGTGTCCTGCAGACTGTCTGGCAGACTCTTCCATGAAGCAGGAACCCTGTAGCAATGTCCATCTTGAATCAGCAGTCACTTTTCTGTGGGTCCTGCATGTCCATTTTATACAGCACAAAGTCAAACAGTCCAGACAAGAGCAGTATCTTTCCAAAATGGCTAATCTTGACATATTAAAAGCAAACTCCATAATGAGTTTCTTTAACGCCCATCTTCCTTTTTGATGCAATTGGTGTTTCCAGGAGCAGTTGTGCCTCACTGTCAAGAAAAACCCTAAACCATTTTAAATGCCATATTCTGTAGGTCTTTGAAAGGTTTGAAGAATGCTTATTCATCTCAAATACATCTCTATATATCTAGAAATCCTAACTAACTTAATTATTAGTTTTGACTTTTATAGGTAACTATCTATAATATGTATTAAATTATACATTACATTTCTAAACGAGCTATCTAAACACAATACCTAAACAAGAGGAGAAATATACATATCACAAAATTGACCTTAAATTTGTATCAATAAATGAAAATCCATTTTCCAAAACAAAGTATTCATATCTGGTCTGGAAAGAGGGCTCAGCCGTTAAAGGCTAGGCTCACAACCAAAAACAAAGTATTCGTATCTACACCATAATCTCCTTTTCACCTTTAAAAAGTGCAGCATGATAAAAATATCCTAAATTGTATCAATATACAAACTGTCTTGAACATAAGTAAAGAATACATACATAGAATATAGTAAGGATAATGTACATAAAACATCATAAACAGATTTTACAGAATATGACAAAATATAATATACAGTTCTTCCAGGAAGAGAATATAAATTTAATTTTATATAGGTTACCACATATAAGAATATATAACAATGTAAACTGTATAATACTAATATTTCACTATAACTAAAATAATTCACAAGAAGATAGGCTAATCTACCTATATCCCATCTAAACCATACCTTTCCCAACCATACCCTATCCCTGTCTAAAAGAGATACCCAAGTCTAAGCATCACCTTCCATACCCAACCCTCGGTAACTAAAACCAACCCTAAAAGCCAAGAGTAGGGAAAGGGGGCGTCGTTATCTTAAGATTACTTCCTGCTGAAATGGGACAATGATTGCTCCATGGGATCCTGTGGGAAGAAAATTTTTAGCAACCAAATTTCTCGATAGGACTGGCTGTGACATATGTACCTAGTCACTGTGTGGCAGAAAATACTTGACTGTAGTTCTATCTGAAATTCTGGCCAGGGTGTAATAAAAAGGTGCACCATTACAGCTAGCTAATCAGGAGTTGTCTCGAGCAAAACAGTCTCAAACTGGTTTAAGGTGATGTTTGTAGTCCAGATGCATCAGGTTGAGTCAAGTGGAAATGACGACATGGGGCCCCTTCTTCTTTCTGGAGAGATCAAGGATTGCTGTTAGGAATTGTTATTATTCCTTGTGGAAAACTTAAACATCAATATCAAAGTAAAAATTTCAAGTTTTAAGGTATGCATATAGGGAAAGACCACAATAAGCATTAAAATGTACATGAGAAAATTAGATTAATAGAAATGGGTTAATATTTAAGACAGAGCTAGCCAATAAATGCTAGTAATAGG